CTCCCCCCCAAGGCATGGCCCCCAACGCCGATTTCCTGGCGCAGGTCAAGCAGCAGTTCCCAGAGCCGGGCGGCCAGGTCGTCGTGGTGAGATACCACTGGGGTCGTCGTCTTGGGAAATTTTGCCGTTGTACAAAAATTCTGTTCACCTTGCACTTGTCACGGCTTGGTTTTTGAATGGCTTCCATGCTGAGGGCTTCGCTAGACCAATGGGTTCAAACTATGGCCCCTGGCGCCCCCTGGGGCCCCAAAGTCACCTCAGCCGGCCGCAAGGCGCCGGCTTGCCGCCCGCCCGCAGCAAGCTTGGGCCCCCATTGCGCGCTGCTGCGGGGTTGTGCGTCGTCGATTGTGGGCCGCTTGGGGCGCAGCAGAGCGGGCACGGCCGGCGGCGCCGGCTGGCTACGCCTGGGGCACACGGGCACTCACACCCGCGGCCCCGCATGAGCGGCCTGCTTGCTGCGCGCACAGGCGCGGCCCTCCGCCTGCCGCGCCTCGCTCGCATCTGCGCGCCCCGTCGGCATCCCATTCCCGGGCCGGCCCCACGTGCTGGCCCGCAACCCTCCGGCGCCCCCTTGACACACACACACACACACACACACACACACACACCGCGCAGGGCTGCAAGAGCGGCCGGCGCTCCGCCGCGGCAGCTTCCGTCCTGTCGGACCATTTCGACGAGATCATTGACCTGGACGGCGGTTATGACGCGTGGGTGGCGTCAGGGCTGCCGACAAAGCTGAGCGGGTGACGTCACGGTGACGTCATCGGGATGACGACATCTTTTGTGCGCTCTTGCGATGCTTTTCGGCTGGACGCGTGTGTTTTTTTTTGGTGCGTGAGTGTTCTGAGCGGCCAGCAGTGTTCTGCCAGACGGGGGTATTGTTACACGATGCCTCCCAGCTGTACGCAACGGTCCGACGGCGGCAGCCAAACCTTGTTGGTAATAAAAACGGCCGAATCAATTGCAGTTTGGTCAGCGAGCACGTTATGAGACAAGCAAAGCCAGGGACACAATCTAACCAAGCGCAACAGGCGGGCGGGCGTCCCTGTCATTACGGCCAGGGCGCCCGCAGACCGCAATACAGCGGCACCGCTACCTGCAGCAAGACAGCCAGCAGAGGGCGGCCGCCGGCGCCAATGTTATGGCAAGCCTTCTGCCCCTGCTTGTGGCGGCCGGCAGCCGCCCCGCCCTCGTCCCTGCCCCTGCCGACGGCGCCCGCGCTAGCGTGCCGCCCGTACGTGCAAAGCGTCGCGGCGCCCCACAGCAGCCACGCCAGCAGCCAGCGCCGCCACAGGGCCCCCATCAGCCAGAGCGCCGCGGCGCCCGCTGCCGCGTCATACACACAGACCTCCACCGCCGCCGCCGCCGCCGCGCCGCGGCACCCGGGAAGCGCTGCCATCAGCAAGCCCACTAATGGGCCGTCTGCAGCGGCAGCGACCGCACCCGCTGCCAGAAGGTGACCTGGGGCGGCCCAGCCGCACGAGGCGGTGCCGCTGTTTAGGTGCCGCCGCCGCCGCCGCTGGGCCCATCGAACGCAGGCCCAAGCCAGGAGCAACAGCCACCCTAGGGCCAGCCATGCTGCTGAGGTGGCGCCGCACCAGACGCCCCATCTCGCCGCCTTTGCAGGCGGCGCGCCGCCCGCCAGCGCCGCCCACGCCGCGCGCGCCAGCCCCGCCGCCGCTCCTCTTAACGCGCCCGCCGTGCGTGACTGCGGCGCCGCGCGCGCGCACGCGCGCGCGAGCAGGCGCGGCGCCGCGCGGGGCGCGGACAGAAGCAGCGCCGCGTGCGCGCAGCAGCGGCCGCAGAGGACCGCGGAAGCAAGGCGCGCGTCCGCGTCCGCCTGATCCGCCGCCGATATGAACAGGCGCGCCGCGGCCCCTATCGCCCGCAGCTCCCCTTCGCAGAGCCGCAGCAGCGCGGCCAGCGAGGCCTGGGCCGCGGCCGCGCTGCGCGCGACAATACTGACGTCGCTTCGGGCGCTCGCGCAGCGCGGCGCGGAGGGCGTCGTTAGATCAACAGCTCGGTGCCACCAATCCATGCGCAGCGCGGGCTCATGTTGCGTTACAGTATTTGTGGCTGCCCGACGTGCCCGCCGCGCCACGGCAACGCGTTATCAGCACGGGGCGGTCGGCAGGCGCACGCGAGCACGCATGCGGGTGACGGTCCGATGCGCTGCGCACCTGCGGACAGCACGCAACTCTTGACAAATGGCATCGCTCCTTTCCAACAGCGCCACCAGCAGCCGGTTTGTCAGGGCCTGCTGAGCCACAAGTCCCTGCAGCAATGCAGCAGCATCCGTGCCTGCTGCTCGTGGTGCGGACCTGGGCCAGCCTCCACACGATGCTAATAGCGCCATGGTCCCGTCTTACGCATTTATGAAACGAGAAATTTATCAGATGTTTGGCCCGCCTGCAGGCCTGCAGCCCGCATATTAGATTCGGGTGCAATCACGCGAAACCGTCGGCATGCGCATAGGCGTTTCAAGCCATGTACCATCACAACTATGAGTGCTTGCCAGTGAATTGCAAACTGACAGGCCGCGCGCTGCTTGGGACGAAAGGGGCCACCATATTACTAGGCCTTTGCCACCACGCAACTTGTTGCCACGGGCAACATGCCTGGCTGCATCACATTTGCCAGAGGTGGCGCTGCTCACATCTGAGTCAGAGTTTGGCAGGTACAGCAATGGGCACATGTACAGTACTGCACTTTCACTTTACAACTCATTTTGTATGCTAATTTGATTGTGCCCAAGTGAATGCCATTCGTTGACCTCGACATTCTTCACGGAACTGCTGACCTGTTGGCAAGTACACCTTTGGTTTGCGCGTGCATAACTACGTCACATTTCAAACTGTATTGACTGGACACACCACCACCCTGACTACTGCCGAAATATTCATGATTGGATGTTACATCGCCGTCTACTGCCTCAGCCTCTCCAGAGGGGGAGGGGAGGGGAAAAACGGGGACATGTGCCAAGGGAGGGGGCGGGGGCGCTCGGAGAGCATACAAAGAGGGACGAGCGGGGAATACAGGTGTTCATCTCTTCTCTGCCACAGGCAGAGAACCCTCAAAAAAGAACAACTTTGGGGAAAAGCGCACAACACATATTCACACGGACAGGCCAGGAAGAGTTTACTGGGGAGTGAACTTGGTGGCGAAGGCCCAGGCGTTGTTCACGGAGGGGTTGGCCAGGTGGGCGTCCAGCTGTGGGTGGTGGTGGTGGTGGCAAGGAGGGAGATCAGTTGACAGCTGGTGGTGGTGGCCACCGTCCGGCTTGCCACAGCACGACACACTCTGCGTCCATGCTGCAACAGGCTGAGCTTGTTATGCACCTGTCAATATCTCGTCACACACCATCAGGAGTGTCATTCACGCGCACATCCCACAGGCCCTTGGTACTCACGTTGGCGATGGGGCCGGCACCGGTCACGATGGCCTGCACGAAGAAGCCGAACATGGAGAACATGGCCAGGCGGCCGTTCTTGATCTCCTTGACCTTGAGCTCGGCGAAGGTGTCGGGGTCGTCGGCCAGGCCCAGGGGGTCGAAGCTCTCACCGGGGTAGAGGGGGTCCAGGCCCTCGCCGGCCGGGCCGCCGTTCACGCGGTAGCCCTCGATGAGGCCCATGAGGAGCACCTAATGGTTGGGACGTGGTGAGGCCAAGGGTTCCGAGTCAGACACGTGGAAGAGATGAGCAGTTGCACAACTACTCCTGGCATCGCTGCTGCATGGCATGCTCCGGAATGTCATGCTACTGCCGGCGAGGAAGGCGTGTGCAGGCTGCGAGTGACCCCGGCTGCACCCTGCAGCGCACCTGGGTGGCGAGGGTGGCCAGGATGGACTGGGCGTGGATCAGGCTGGGGTTGCCCAGGTAGTTGAGGCCGCCGTCGGCGAAGATGGCGCCACCGGCCTTGTACCAGACACCGCCGGCGGGGATGCTGGGGTTGGACTTGGCCAGCAGCTCGGGAACGACGCTGCCCAGGGCGCCGAGCATGGCCCAGCGGGCGTGGATCAGCTCCAGCTCGCGGTAGCGGCGGAAGGTCTCGGGGTCTGCGTGGTGGGGGGGTCACAGGGTTGGCAATGAGACACGAATGGCCTACACGCGGTGCTGTGGACGCTCAGCAGTGGACCAACTGTTGTGAGGGCAACGCAACGCCTGGGTAGGCACACCGCTCCACTGGCTGTGTATTCCAGGCTCAGCTGCCAAGCCTGGCAGCACCAGGTCCCTCAGCTCGTAACTATCCCCCATGCACCCTCTCGACTGCACCCTCCACTGTGTTCACTCACCAGCCGACAGGCCAGCGGTGTCCCAGCCGTAGTCGCCGGGGAACTCGCCGGTGAGGTAGGCGGGGGTGGAGCCAGCCGAGAAGGAGCCTGTGCACGGGCAGCGCAGGGGGGGTATGCTCAGCTGTTGTGCTGTGGCGTGGGGCGAGCTTGTCAATGGCCACCCTGAAGGCGCTACGCAGGCACTGATGCAATCCCAGCAGGTGAAGATCTGATGAAGTGCCCACGCTGGACGGCCTGGCCGGAAATTGTGTAATTGGTATAGGTGATTGACATCGCGATTTCTTGGGTTCTGGGGACGCGGATGCAACATGGACCCAGTGCCAGAGAACCTCGGGCCTAGCACGAGATGCTCACCCAGGAAGGTGGGGCGGTCGGGGCCGTACCACTCGAGACCCTTGGAGGCGGTCTTCTGCAATTATTTGGTTGCAGGAGTGCAGGAGAGGGAGGCCCGAAGTGAGCATCGAGTCTGACCGTTCCGCAGTTTGCGGCCAGTTTTGCAACGCTCGCCCGCAGAGAACGTCGTATTGAAGGAGCGCTCGCACCTTGACAGCCTTGACGGCCTTGGTGGCCTTCTTGGCGGCCTTCTTGGCCTGCACGTTCACCGCGCGAGAGCGGGAGAGAGTGGTCTGCATCTTGCCGAGCTGCGTGTAGAAGTACGGAATAGTGATCAAAGAGAGTGTGCGTTGGGAACCGAGCGGGACGAGCTATATGGGCCAGATGCTTTGGGGGAGACAGGGGGGCGGAAGAAGCGAACGATTTGATCTCCTTTGCCCGCCCGTATCGTGCGGTTCAGTGGCCGAGGCTGAACCTCGCAGCGCCACAAAATTTTATAAAGTCCAATCAACATCGTTGCCCTCGCGCTACAGCTCCCTGCGCAGCCCCGCTGCTCTACCGCCAGTTCGGCCATTGTGTGCTGTTGCACCATGCGGTGGCAGCGCCGCTGCTGCGGGCGGGAGCCCTCTGCGGCCCCACTGTTGCGGCGTCGGCAGGCAAACGCCGGCGTGACAGAGCACACTGGTGCGCACAGCCCTCGATCAGCTGTGCTTGGGCAGGCCGGGCCGTGCAGCGCCAGGTTGCGGGTGTCGCCCCCCCCCCCCTTCAACAGGGGCCAGGGGCCCCCCGGTGACCCCTCCTCAAGGGCAGTGGATCAACGACACCTCGTTCCAGGGTGAGAGGGAAGACAATTCCCCGCATGATTCAAATTGTTCACAAGTTGTGGGGCCTTGAATTGGTTTGAGTTGAGGGTTGACAATTGCGCCAATTTGCTCAACTGCTGTTGAGTGGGAGTTGGCTGTCGCACGAACAACCCCACTCACACACGATGATGTGGGTTCCAAGGCTACTTTTCTCTTGTACTGTATGTGACCACCGCGCAGTGGCTGCGCTGACAGCCCCCCTCTTCCGTTGTCACACTGAAGGCACAGTGTTGAGGCAGGGCGCAGGTGCTGCCTTGATATAGCGAGTTGCACAAAGCAGGGGGGGGCTCATGCCTTGAGACCCCTTTCGGAAGGTTTCATTTCTGTGTTACACCTGCAGCCCTCTGGCTGGGGCTGGAGGGCCTCAATACCAGCGCTGCGCTTCCAATTTGGCACGGCGCTGCAGCTGGTGTGGTGATCGGGGCAAATGGTACAAGCTGCATGCGCCATGGCGCACTTCCTTGACAAAAGTGCTGCCAGGACACGGCTGCTCTGGTCCAATCAGGCTGATGAAAAATGCATCAGACAGGCATGGCTGTTGCTAGGGCCCCAGCAGCTTGTCCTGCTGTACAGTGTGCTCCCAACAACAATAATCGATGTGTGGGAACCCGCGAATGTTGTGCGCAACCTGGAACACATGGGCTAGTCAAGGAAAGCAGTACGATGGGCGCACTGCAGCTCACTGTGGCTGGCGAAGGCCCTTTGTGGGGTGATTGGTGACGGTACGTCCGCCCGAACACTGCGCCGGTTGCGACGCGACAGCCTGATGCCTGCTTTATACGACACACCCCGCATGTTGCACCACCTGCTGCATGCCATCTTGCCAGCTTACGTGAAAGGCGCATGGCATTTTCTTGCCTCCCAAGTCATGAGAGCAAAAAAGAATACAAGCTGGCAGTCCTGGCAACATTACCGCAGCAGACTTGGGACCTGCCAGCAACCATTTGCTGGCACTGTGCAAGGTAGAGTGTGTGTGCTTGCGAGGGCGCAACTGACTCTCATCACCGCCCTTTTGAAAGACAGGCTGGAATGTTGGCAGACAGTTCGTGCCGGGGACCTGCCACCACCTTGACCAATGTGGTCTCGCCAATGCTGACCCAGCGTTCAAGGACCCAACCTTCAGGTGGGAAAGTCGCACGAGCTGCCACAGCGAGGCCGTGCACGGCTGCCATCACAGCATAAACAATATGCCAACAAGCATCTGCCGGATCGATCACGCAGTTTCGGTGCCGCCCCGCGGTTTGGGCGACCAAAACAGCGAAGCCTTGCGATCTCAGTCTCGATAGCACCGTGGTTCTCTAGTTCATTGTTTGTGCATTGTTTCAGCGGCAGCTGCGGCCTGCCGACTTCGTTTCGTTGTTATCCCCAGTCACCGCGTTACATCAAGGCGGGTTCCTGGACTTGGACGCGCTTAGAGAACCGTGCCGACCGCTATATTGGCGAATATCTGCGTTATAATGCATAACGCTCAGCTACGTGCCCAGCAGGCGCGCCTGCGCACCGCCAGGGGACACGGCCAGCCGCGCCAGCGCTGCGTCGGCCGCGCTGCAGCTCTGGCGCCGCGGGCTGTTCTGCAGGCGCGCGGCCGGTCATTTGCAGCAGACCAGGTCAATGTGAAGCGGCCAATCGGGGAGGGCGCATATGGGCAGGTCTTTGAGGTGATCCATCCCGCCTGGCGACGCGGGGAGCCGGGGGTTGGGGGGGGCCTGGGTCAAAGGACCACTTTTGCATGGGGGCCTTGCCCCACACGCGCCAGCTACGTGATCGCACATGCGTGCGGTCGCATGACACTACCGCACCGAGATCGTCGACCCGCAGCACCGCGGGCGCCGCGCATGCGGGGCCAAACACCCCGCCCCGCCCCGCATGGCGCCGTCCAGCTGTCGCGCGGCGCGCGCCCCCGCGCCCGGGCGCCTTGATCCCAATATCCTTTCAAGATTTGACGGCCTGTATGACGCTAAAACCTAACAGGGCCTGCTTGATTTGGGTGGCGAAGAGCTAGAGCGCGTAGTGCTGAAGAGGGTCAAGCGATTCGTCCAGGTGAGCCCCGTATGTGCGCATGCACGCGTCCGCATTCGCGCATGCACGCGTCCGCATGCGCACGCGCGCCCAAGCTGTCAACCTCTGCTCAGCCAAGGCGCCAGCCCCGGCGGCGCGGCGGTATGGGGGCAAAGACCCTGCCGCGGCCGCGCGCGCGCGCGCGCGATCTGATCACCAACCGACCCCGCCGCCACACAGGACGGCGCCCCCTCGCGCCGCGCGACCAACCCACCGACCCCGCCTCCCGCCCCGCCCCTCGTATCCCACTGGATTGCAGGGCGCTGAGGAGATGGTCGCGATGGAGCACCTCATCAACGTGACGGCGTCTAAGGCGGCGCGCGGCGGCGTGGCCGAGTTCATGGGCTACTGCGAGGTCGAGGAGCACGAGGCGTCGCGCAGCCTGACGCCTGGCCTGTGGCTGGTGCGCGCGTGCGCATGTGCTCGTGTCCTCGGGGAGGGTCCGAGCAGCGGGCCGCGGCTAGCGCCGGCGTGCGCGGCTGGGCTGACGTGTGCGCCGCGCTGCCAGCTGCCTGCAAGGAGTAGCCGGGGGCTCCAGCTAAGTGCGCGGGCGGGGCAGAGCGCCTGCGCCGCGCCCCAGCTTGCACCTGCCGCACACGGACGGCCGGGCGGCTGGGTTTGCTGACGCGCAGACGTTTGAGCCTCCCTGCCTTGTGTCGCAAACCAGGCGGCTCCCGGCCTGTGCCGCGCATCAGCGCTGCCCGGCTGCGCCGCCCCCCCCCTCTCACCGGCTCGCGCGCCCATGCGCCGCGCCCCCATGCCGCAGGTGTGGCGCTACGAGGGCATCAATACTCTGGCGTACTACCTCCGCCGCCGCGACGCCCTGCAAGCGCTCGCGCGTGATCTGGACGTGCCCGAAGATCTGGTGATCCCGGTCGCGATGCGGCAGCTGCTGACAAGCCTCGCGGCGCTGCACGCGGCCGGCCTGGTGCACAGGTGCGTGCGGCGGGGGGGGGGGGGAGACGGCTGCACCAGGCCCCGCCGCCACGGGTCCCATCTGCTGGGTGCGCCGCGCGAGTCCGCACGGGGCCCGGATGAGAATCGCCGTCGCTGCCTTGCTCAGGCACCGCCGCGCCGCTCAATGCGCGAGGGTCCCCTGCTTCGCTCCCATGATGGACTCCGCTTCGTTGAACCCGCAACGCCCTCCCAAGGGATGTGAAGCCCCACAACATCATTCTTTCCGAGACCGACAAGCGCCTCAAACTCATCGACCTCGGCGCCTGCGCGGGTGAGGCACCCGCGGCGGGCTGCTCGCATCCCGGGGCGGCCGCCTGTCGGCTCATTGGGCCGGCCTGGCGCCTGTCGCGCGCGGATTCTTTGGCTGCCTGGCGCCTGCAGGGTCGCGGCGTGCGCCATCTGCGCCGTTGGGCCGCAGCTGCGTCCCTCCGGCCCCCGCGCTCGCTGCGCATTGCACAATGAGCACAGTTGCCACTGCCCCCTCCCCAACCCCGTGTCTGTCGCCCGTGCCCCTGCCGACCTGCAGACCTGCGGAGCGGGACGAACTACACCCCGGAAGAATCCATTCTTGACCCCTTGTACTGCCCCCCTGAGCAGGTGCGTTGATCCCAGGCTGATTAAGGCATGGTTGAGCCTTTGCACCGCCAATACCTGCTTGACTCCAGCACAATCAACTTGCCAGTTACTAGGATGATCCAACCTGCCAGCAGCAACCGACCCCCGCTCCGACCTACTCTTGAAACCCCGACCTGACCCGGTACTGCCGTCGCAACCGCCACCCCCGCCCGACCCCAGTTTGTCCTGCCCACCGACAGCCCCCACCTGGCCAAGTCCTTCGTCGCGCAGGCGTTCGGCCCGGTGCTCTGGGCGCAGCACAAGCCCGACAGGTTCGACACCTGGTCTGCCGGCATCATCCTCATGTGCCTCGCGCTGCCCAGCATGCGCTCGTCCCGCGGCCTGGGCGTCTTCCTGCAGGAGTTCCGCTGGTCAAAGTACGATCTTGACCGCTGGCGCGCGACGAGCCGCTGGGCCAACGCGCGGGACCTGGCGTTGCTGGACGCGGACGAGGGGGCGGGGTGGTCGCTGGCGCGCGCGCTGCTGCGGCCGCGGAGCATAGAGGTGGCGGACAGCGGGGTGGTGAGCTTCGTGAACAAGGGGGAGCAGCTGCGGCTGTCGGCGCCAGAGGCGCTGAAGCACAGGTGGGGTGGAGCTGTGGCACATTCCGGGGGAGGCGCAGCGCGGGCCGAGGGCGCCTGTCGGTTTCGCTAGCGCCGCAGCGTTTGTTTGCCGCAGTGACCCTGTTCCGAGTCGGCTTTGGGGGCCAGCCAGGCGCGGGCGCGGCGGGCGCTGCGGCATGCGCCGCCGTGCGGTGCGGTGCGCCTGCTCGCTCGTGCCTTGCACCTCGCGTCTGCGCACCAGACTCCCAGACAACTCGCTAGCGTTTCAGCTGCGCACACAGTAAATATGTATAAGATCCTCACCAGCCAAACTAATGCTGCTGCCGCCCGACCAGGTTCCTACGTGGCGCGCGGCAGCTGGAGCGGGAGCGCGGCGGCGCGGTGACGTCATCGTCTGACTCCCCCCTGTCGACCTCCGACCCCCGGGACGACGACGAAGGCACCCTGTGGATGAAGCTGGGCGGAAGCCGCCGCACCAAGCTCGGCGGCAGCCCCGGCGGCAGCGCGGCCCGCGGCGGGACGCCCGGCGGCGGCAAAGCCGGCGGCACCTATAGCGGCGGCAAGGCGGCGGGCACCTACAGCGGCGGCAAGGCTGGTGGCACATACAGCGGCGGGCGGCGCGTGGGCTCCGGGACGGGCGCGGGCGGGCGGGCCGTGCTGACGCCAAAGGGCGCCCCGCCGCCGCCCGACAAGCGCGCAGCGTACGCCGCCGCCGCGGCGGAGAAGCGCGCCGCCGCCGCTGCGGCGGCCGCGGGCGGCGCTCGCGCGGGTGCGGGCGCGAGGCGGGAGCGGCAGGCCGGGGGGCTGTTTGGGGCGGCGGCGGGTGTCCTGCGGGGGCTGAGGGAGAGCTTGGTAGACCTGGAGGCGCGCATCTCCCAGGCGGCCGACGAGACCGAGACCCAGACGACCAAAGTGCGGCAGCTCGAGGCCAAGGCGAGTGCCCGAGCGGCGCGCGGCGCCCGGTCGTTCCGGTAACAGTGGCTCGGCGGCTCTCAACGGCCCAGCGGCCGCGGCGACGCAGCGGGGGGTGG